GAGGGAGAAGCAGACTCCCCGCCGAGCAGGGAGCCCGATGCGGGACTCGATCCCGGGACTCCAGGATCATGACCTGAGCCGAAGGCAGTCGCCTAACCAACTGAGCCACCCAGGCACCCCAATAAATAAAATCTTTAAAAAAAAAAAAAGAAAAAACCCCAGAATTCTGTTAATTTATTTACTTAAAGATTTTATTTATTACTATTTTTTTTAAAGTAGGCTCCACACCCAGCGGGAAGCCCAATGTAAGGCTTGAACTGAGCTGAGACCAAGAGTTGGATGCTTAACCAACTAAACCATCCAGGTGCTACTAAAGATTTTATTTTTAAGTAATCTCTACACCCAAAGTGTGGCTCAAACTCACAACCCTGAGATCAAGAGTCACATGCTCCATCGACTGAGCCAGCCAGGCGCCCCCAATAATTTCCAATTTTTTTTAAATTCAATTAGCCAACATATAGTAACATCATTAGTTTCAGATGTAGAGTTCAGTAATTCATCAGCTGCATATAATACCCAGGGCTCATCACATCATATGCCCTTCTTAATGCCCATCACCCAGTTACCCCATCTCCCCACCCACAATAATTCCCAATTTTAATGAAGCAAACTGTGATGAGAATGCAAAGGCTTCAGCAGTATCAAAGCAATAAATGTGATCAAAATGAAAACATGTTGGCATGTCTGATTTGTTTTCAATTTCCTTATAATGTTATGTGAACAGGCTAAATTTTTTGTCTTCGTTTTTTTTTTTTTTTAAGATTTTATTTATTTGTATGAGAGAGAGACAGAACAAGCAGGGGGAGGGGCAGCTGTTAAGGGAGAAGCAGGCTCTCTGCTGAGCAAGGAGCCGGATGTGGGACTCAATCCCAGGACCGTGCGATCATGACCTGAGCCGAACACAGACGCTTAACTGACTGAGCCACCCAGGCGTCCCTTAAAATGAGAGTTCTATGAGGGGACTGTTAAATATAGAGTCACCATGTGACCTAGCAAATCTACCCCTAGGCATAAACCTAAGAGAAATTAAAACATATATTCATACAAAAACTTGTACATGAATGTCCACAACAGCATTATTTGTAGCAGTCAAAAGTAGAAACAACCCAAGTGTCCATCAACTGGTGAATGAATAAACAAAACATGGCCTATCCATACAATGGATAAGCCATAAATGAGCAATGAAGTAGTGACACATGATACCACATGGATCAACCCTGAAAACATTATACTGAGTAAAAGAAGTCAGACACAAAAGACCACATATTGTATGATTCTAAATATATTAAATGTCCAATATAGGCAAATCTATAAAGACCAAAAGATTAGCGGTTGCCTGGGCAGGGGGAAACAGGAAATGGAGAATGATGGATAATGGATATGGGGCTTCTTTTCAGGGTGATGAAAATGTAAAATTAGACAGTAGTGATGGTTGCACAACTCTGAATATACTAAAAAAATCACTGACTTGCATATTTTAAAAAGGTGAATTTTAGGGCGCCTGGGTGGCTCAGTTGGTTAAGCGACTGCGTTCAGCTCAGTCATGGTCCCGGGGTCCTGGAATTGAGTTCCACATTGGGTTCCCCCTGCTCTGCGGGGAACCTGCTTCTCCCTCTGCCTCTGCCTGCCACTCCCCCTGCTTGTGCTCTCTCTCTCTCTCAAATAAATAAAATCTTTAACAACAACAACAACAAAAAGGTGAATTTTATGGTGAATTATACCTTAATAAAGCATTTATTTTTAAAAAAATTCTATGAAGAAAGAAACAAAATGTCCTTGTTTGGATTAGCTTCTCTATCCCTTTCCAAATATCTACTGTGAATGCTGTTGACAATACCTTTTCTGTTTTGGCTTGGGGGAAGTAGATGAAGTATGGCTGCCTTTGGCTAGTAACCACACATCGCTGCCACTCATAGAATCCATCTGCTAAAACGACACAGCGTCTTCCCTTTCCAAGAGGTACCTAAGGGAAAATGTGAGTAAGATAGGGTCTTAGTGACAGAATGTGTCATGGACTTGAGTTAAAATCTCAGGTCCACCAATGTATGACCTTAGAGCAGTTATTCAATTTCTCTGTACCTCCCTTTTCTTATGCATAAAGTCATCACTCACACAGCTGTTGAAAAGATTAAATAATGTACTCCAGCTCTGTTAATTATAAGTGCATGAGAACCTCCAAGTGAAAACGGTCTAGTTGAACCCAGTCAACCTACAGAATATGAGAAATAACAATAGTTTTGTTTTAAACCACTAAGTTTTGGGATGACTCATTATGCAGTAATATATATTAACAGTACTCAACATTATTAGCAACTGGGAACACACTTTCCAGGAGAACCTTATTTTATTTCTCAGGTATATAAAGCACTAACAGCTCTGCTGGAAAAAAGAACAGAGTACGTGCCTTTTCCCTAGACCTGCTACCTACCTTGAAGGAATGTTTCTCCATTATGGTATCACTACGACAGTTGGAAGTGTTGAACTTCAGCTTAGAAGGATCACTCTCTTTGAACCAAGATGGGACCAATCCCCATCGCATGGGAGCAATGATACGTTCAGATGAGTCTGCACCCTGTCATGGAAAAAGGTTAAGATCCAGTGAGGAGATAATAAAATTTAGAAAACCAAATGTAGCACGTGCATCACATTACATTGAAATACAAAAAATACAGATTATTAAAAGGGAAAGAGGGCGCCTGGGTGGCTCAGTCAGTTGGGCGACTGCCTTCGGCTCACGTCATGATCCTGGAGTCCCAGGATCGAGTCCTGCATCGGACTCCCTGCTCGGAGGGGAGTCTGCTTCTCCCTGTGACCCTCCCCCGCTCATGCTCTCTATCTCATTCTCTCTCTCAAATAAATAAAATCTTTAAAAAAAATTAAAAGGAAAAGATTCTACTTGAAAACAATTTTATTTCATTTATTTAAGAGTTTTTTTTTTTTTAAGATTTTATTCATTCATTTGAGACACAGAGATAGAGAGAGAAAGCATGAGCAGGGGGAGAGGTAGAGGGAGAGGGAGAAGCAGGTTCCCCACTGAACCAGGAGCCCGATGTGGGGCTTGATCCCAGGATGCTGGGATCATGACCTGAGCCAAAGGCAGATGCTCAACCATCTGAGCCACCCAGGCGCCCCAAAATTTTTTTTTTTTTTTTAAGATTTTATTTGTCAGAGAGAGAGAGAGCGCAAGCAGGGGGAGTAGCAGGCAGAGGGAGAAGCAGGCTCCCAGCTGGGCAAGGAGCCCAATGTGGGACTCGATCCCAGGACCCTGGGATCATGACCTGAGCCAAAGGCAGACACTCAACCAACTGAGCCACCCAGGCGTCCCTTTAAAACAATTTTAATGATTTATTATGATGTGACTAACTTGAGGTCTTCAGCATTTATTAGACTGTAAGACATATTGCTTGGGTAGGGTGGGGGATACAAAGAAGTTTAGTCTGTAAACAGTTACTTAGTGCCTCCTATAAGAGAGACATAGTGCTAGGCCTAGCAGTTCATGTGGTCCTAGCTCTCAAGAAGCACAGGTCACAGACAATGATAATATAGCGAGGTACATGCTATGATCAAGGCATGCACAGGGTGCCGTGGGGCACATGCAAAAGTTTTTAACCTCAAAGGGCTTGCACGATAACATGCAAGGCCACAAAGACATAAAAATATTAATAATTTGAGATACAATAGGCTAATGGCCATATAAGTGGTACAGATGAAGAGTAGCAAAGGAGTTCAGTGGAGAATGATCTGTGAGAGATGGAATGGATAAGTATCAACTCCTCAGAAGGGGCAAAAAGACAGGGGTGGGGTGGGGTGGTTCTTAAATTAGATCCCACAAGAGGTACAGAATTCAGACAAAGAGATGGGAGGGAAGACCAGATGTGAAATTAAATGAACAGGGGCGTCTGGCTGGCTCAGTTGGAGGAGCACGTGACTCTTGATCTTGGGGTTTTAAGTTTGAGCCCCTCAATGGGTGTAGAGATTATTAAAAGCAAACAAACTTTAAAAAAATTAAATGAACAAAGAGGCAATGTCAAGAATGTGTAGGGGTGCCTGCGTGGCTCAGTCGTTAAGCGTCTGCCTTCGGCTCAGGTCATGATCCCAGGATCCTGGGATCGAGCCCCACATCGGGCTCCCTGCTCGGCAGGAAGCCTGCTTCTCCCTCTGCCATTCCCCCTGCTTGTGTTTTCTCTCTCGCTGTCTCTCTGTCAAATAAATAAATAAAATATTAAAAAAAAAAAAAGAATGTGTAGGAAGTGGTTTTGTGCAGCAAAGTAATATAATAGCAAGCCTGAGAATGCTATTTTTTGGAGGGCCTGCTTACAGGGTTGGCCCTTAGCATCTGGGAACTTGGATTTTGAGTTTTCCCCTTTTCCCAACTGATAAGGATGGTTTGGTTTACTGTGCCTAGCCTGTGCAAAAATGAGGTTTATGCCTAGCATCTGTTTTCCTTCTGAGAGTCTGGAATTTTGGTGCTTGCTAGGCAGAGTACCCAATAAAAACCTTGGGCTTTTGGGGGGCTGGCTCAGTCCATGTGCCTCTTGATCTCAGGGTCATGAGTTCAATCCCCACGCTGAGTGTGGAGCCTATTTAAATTAGGGGCGCCTCAGTGGCTCAGTGGGTTAAGCGTCTGCTTTCGGATCAAGTCATGATCCCAGGGTCTTGGGATTGGGCCCCGCATTGGGCTCCCTGCTCAGTGGGTAGCCTGATTCTCCCTTTCCCACTCCCCCTGCTTGTGCTCCCCTCTCTCTCTCCCAAATAAATAAAATCTTTAAAAAGATAAAATATTTTTTTAAGGATTTATTTATTTGAGAAAGAGAGAGGAGAGCGCATGCCGGAGTAGGCGGAGAGACAGAGGGAAAGAGAGAGAATCCTCAAGCAGATTCCCCACTGAGTGTGGAGCCCAACACGGGGCTGAATCCTAGGACTGAGATCATGACCTGAGCCAAAATCAAGAGTTGGCCCCTTAACCGACTGAGCCACCCAGGTACCCTAAAATAAAATCCTTAAAAACAAAATGGAACAAAACAAAGCAAAACAAAACAAAAAACAACCTTGGACTTTCAGTTTCTAACGGGTTGCCCCAGGCAGAAACACTGCACATTACTACATTTTTCATTGCTGGAGAAGGAACATGCCTGGTGTATCCCCCCTCACAGGAAGGAGGGAAGATAAGGAAGCCTGTGCATGGATTTTTTCCCAGATTCCTAGTGGTGTCTTTTTCCCTTGCTGATTCTATTATGTATCCTTTCACTGTAACAAACCTTAGCCATAATATGCCTTATAAGTTAAGTCCTTCCTAGTGAACCTCCAAATGTGGGGGTACTCTTGGGGGGACTCCGACACATGGTTGTTAAAATTTGGGAGGTAAATGGCCCCTTAAGAACTTGATGAAATCTACAGATTAAAACGCCTACTTATGCGTGCATGCACGTGCGTGCGCGCGCACACACACACACTATTCTATATGGTGTGCAGAGAGTGCATTCTGGGTGCTACCATGATGGTCTGGGGGTAAGGATATGGTGGGTCTCATGATGGTAGTAAGAATAAAAGACACCAAAAGATAGACTAAAAATAAAATTGTGACGGTAAATGGAAAAGAAAACAGGACTGATTAAATTTTCAAGCCTAGAAGAATGAGCAAAAGAAAAAAATCTGAAGAGGGGCCTGATTTGGGGAAAGATCATGTGTTGATTTCAGATAATAGTGGGACATCTATAGCAGTTCTTTGTTATATTTTCAAGTCTGTAGCTTTAGCAGTTTAAAGAAACGGTTGCAAAATCTTTGACACTCCTCTCATTGAGAGCTGAAGGTGTATGTTCCCTCCCCTTAAATCTGGATGGGACTGTGATTTACTTGTAACCAACATAATGTGGCACAAGTGACACTATATGATTTCTAAGACTAGGTCAGAAAACGTATGTCAGCTTCTTCCTCACTTGTGGAGACACTCCTTCTGAAGCTCTGAGCTGCCAAGTAAGAAATCCAGCCACCCTAAGACTGTCATGCTGCGAGGAAGCCCTGGCTACATGGAGAGGCCACATATGAGTGTTCTGGTCAACAGCCTCAACTGAGAACCAATGCCAATTGCCAGATAAGTGAGTGAAAATACCTCTAGATCAGAGGCTGGCAAATTTTTCTGAAATGGCCAGATACTAAGTATTGTAGATTTTGCAGGTCATACAGTGTCTATTGCAACTATAATATAACTACTGTTACAGGGGCAAAGCAGCCATAGATAACAGATAAATGAATGGATGTTTTTGTGTTCTGTAACATTCCTGCTCTAGATGATTCTAGCCCCAAATGCCAGGTCTTCTCAGGTGAAGCTCAGACTTCAGGGAAGAGACAAACCATACCTGTAATGCCCTGGCCTCATCCCTCACTGGTGAACAGAACAAAAAGTTGTTTAAAGTCACTAGAATAAAATCCAGTACAGCTATTTATTACGTCCAACAAGCACTCAGAGATATGGAATTAAAGCTTAGGAGAGAGGCAGCATAGTACAAATAACGGGCCAGAAAACTTGCTCTGTGAAAGGCAGATAGTAAATATTTTTGGCTTTGTGAATCCATATAGTCTCTGTTGCAATGACTCAAGCAACTCAACTCTACTGCCACTGGTATTATGAAAGCAGACAAAGAATGAAGGAGCGTGGCTGTGTTCTAATAAAACTTTACAAAAACAGGCGGTGGGCTAGATCTGATCTGAGGACCAGTTTGCCAACCCCTGGTATACAGGAAAGAATAAAGCCTTTACAAGAAGACCCTGGTTCAAAAATCCCAACTCTGCTACTTACGAGGTTGGACTAGTCTCAACTTCCTGGACCCTCAACGTTCCTTATCTGTAAAAATAGAGTGAACAATACCTACCTGGCAGGATCATTTAAATGCATGACATGAAATAAGCACACAGATTATAGTTTAATATTTTTCTAAGTTTAGAATTAAAAACAAATAGTAAAATTTTCTATGTGAAGGTGATTGTTAAGGCTGTGAGGACAAAGTTTCTTAGAAAGTAAATCAGGGCTCCTGGGTAGCTCAGTCAGTTAAGTGTCCAACTCTTGATTTTGGCCCAGGTCATGATCTCAGGGTCTTGAGATTGAGCCCTGCATAGGGCTCTGTGCTCAGCAGGGAGTCTGCTTGAGATTTTTCTCTCTCAAATAAATAAATAAATCTTAAAAAAAAAAAAAAAAGTAAATCAAGCACAGGATTTAACCTGGGGGTACAAAAAGAGAACAGAGAAATGAAGGAAAACAGAATCTAAGAAAAAGTACCTAGAGAAATGAAAGTAGAATGAGAAAGAATGAGTAGAAAGAGAAAAGTCAAGAGGATACAATTCTAAGATAAGAATCATCAGCAGTGGTACTGTCTCCAAAAGGCTCCCCTTTTGTTTGAAGCTAATCTCTCCATTGTGCTCCTTATAAAATCCTGTCCTGTTACTTCCAAAATCTTGCCTTATCAGATAATCCCCTTCTCTTTCTCTCTCTCTCTCTCTCTCTCTCTCTCTCTCACACACACACACACACACACACACACACACACTCCATTCTCATTATTCATGGCAGTTAGGTTC